ACACTACCTACCTACCACTACTCCTAATTGTAGGCATACGGGGAACCCCGTAGCAGCCAGAACCGTGTTCACGAGTGAACATGCGGGGGCTGCTCCCGACCTGCAGGTGGGCGATACCGGCCAGGGGACAACCGGTAGCATCAGGGACCATGCCAACAGGACCAATCCCTGTGCCTCCCCTCAGGTCCCCTCCCCTATGAACATCAGCAGACTCTGCTAAATGCAAATCGGGGGATCCAGTGGTCTATCTCCTGGTGGCGGGCGCCAAGCATGCCCAGGAAGATACATGAGGACAATGGGGATTGAACCCACGACCTCCTGAATGCCACTTGCGAGCCTTACCAACTGAGTTCGGCCGCTGGATGCAAAAAATATCTGGACGTGGTTGTCCTCGGGAAAAAAAGAAAAAAAAAATGCCGCTCCGACTTCATTTATTTGCAAAAGAAAGCCGCACGTACTTTTCCTCGGGGGAAAAACCGAAAAAACAAATAATGCCCCTCCGACTTCCGTTTATTTGCAGTATGCCCCTCCCACGGCCGACTTACCCACTTACCCTGTCGCGTCCCTCTCACAACGATTGAAGTTTCCCCTGGCATCGTTTGGGCCTAAAAATAAGTGCAATATGCCCCAACCGTTTCCAGTTCAAAATTTCCAGTATGCCCTGCGCCCCGGTGGCTCCCCTCCCAGGGCCAGGGGAACGGCTGCAACTGGCCACAACGGCCACGAGGGCATGCTGGAAAGCTGCACCCTTCGCTGACAGGGGCCTGCGGGAAACTTCTGAGCCCCCAGGGGCACGACAGGGTAAGGCAGTTGTCAGAGTGGCATAAGCCAAATAAATGGAAGTCGGAGAGGAGTGTACGCCGATCTGGGTCGAGGCTCAGACTATCGGGCGCAGGAATCCCGAAACTACGTCTGAAGAACAGAAAAAAAAACGGGAAAAAGAAAACGACAAAAAGAAAAAAGAAATAAGAAAAGGAAAACATGAAATGCATCGCCAAAGAGAGGGTAGTGCTTCCTCGCGGGCAGGGGAGAGAGAGAGAGAGAGATGCCAAAAGGGAATGCATCTTCCTGTGAAAGCGGGAAGATACATTCCCTTTCGACACTTACGAAGAGTGCCTGTAAGAGAGAGAGAGAGAGAGAGAGAGAGAGAGAGAGAGAGAGAGAGAGAGAGAGAGAGAGACAGACAGACAGACAGAGAGACACAGAGAGAGAGAGAGAGGGAGAGAGAGAGAGAGAGAGAGAGAGTCGCTGCCATTGCAGCTCAGCGGCAATGGCAGCGACTCGCCCTCCCTCTCTCTCTCTCTCTCTCTCTCTCTCTCTCTCTCTCTCTCTCTCTCTCTCTCTCTCTCTCTCTCTCT